AAAAAAACCAACAGAAGAATGTTACTACAAGGCAAGTAAAAATTGCTAATTACTTAAGATCAAGTTCAAAGTGGCCAAAGGCCCAATTTTAGAAGGAAGATAAGTTTCTAGGGCCAAAGGGTCAAGATAAAGGAAAGACATCTGAAGTCAAAAGCCAACATGGCCAAGTGTAAGAATCACTCCGACTAGCTGCCAGGGCTGCAGAGGACCTCTAAGGCCAGGCAATTTGTAACAATGTTATATTAGTCACCTTTGGTTACTACTATGGAATACCCAAGGCAACTAAAGTACAAAGAGAAAAGGTTTATTTAGCTCATACTTTTGGAGAGTCCAAGACATGGCACCTGCCTCAACTCAGCTCAGGTGAGGGTGAGGGATGATGGTGCGAGTGTGGTAGGACAGCACTGGCATTTCCAACCAGGAAGCCCAGACAAAGTGAGTGAGGAGGAGGGGCATCCCAAAATTCCTTTCAAGGGCATGCCCCCACTGGTCTCCTATTGGGCTCCACCTCCTCACAGCAGCACCACTCTAGGGCCTTGTCTTCCATCACCGACCTTTGGGGGACGCACAACCCAGAGGAAGTATATAAGAATAAGAGCAAAGTTTAGGGACCCTAAATCTCTGTACTTCACCAGAGTTGTGATACTGCTTCTCTGTTATTTATGGGATGATTCATCAGACATTAGAGTTTAGGAACCCAAATTAGTTGCTAATAGTAAGCAATTATATTTTGAGAGCTGTGTAGACTTTCTATATCCTTATCTTTCACAGGAATAAACTAAAGTTTCTACCTAAAGGGCACTCCCAGATTTCAAGAGCAAAACCTTTAAGATTTAATGAGCTACAGATTTTGGCCTAATTATTACTTTTTACTTAGGTTAAGTTTATCTTGTTATATGACCAAAAAGAGTGAGTTAGATAGAAGTTCTCCTTTATTTAAGTATGTTTTTATTTATGTAGGGGCTCCATACGTAGAGGTTGTTTCTTGAGCAATTATTTCTTGGCTAATTCATCCTTTTAAATTTTACATGCTTCTTATAACAGGAAATCAAAAACATGAAGAACTTTCCACTTTGAAAGTAACAATTTGGCATGGAAGTTTGTTTTTATACTAATGATTTTATATAGTGTTGATATTTTATACTTTCTTTAATAATTTTTTTTCATTCTGGGGATTGAACTCAGGAGTGATTTACCACTGAACTATATCCCTTGCCCTTTTAATTTTTTATTCTGAGACAGGGTCTCATTAAATTGCCCAAGCAGCACTTTATTTTGTGCTCCTCCCACCTCAACCCCCCTCAGTGCTAGGATTACAGGAGTGTCACAATACCTGACTCTTTCCTTCATAGGTTTTGTTTTGTTTTGTTTTAAAAGGAGATCTGGCTGGGCTTGAACTCACTAAGTAGCCCAGGCTGGCCTTGAACTCGCAGTGATCCTCCTGCCTCAGCCTCCCAAGTGCTGGGATTATAGGCATGCACTATCACACATAGCTTCCTTAATAATTTTTAAATGAAAACAAAATGCTTAAAAGAAAGAAAATCATCTATATGCCTATTATCCTACTTGGGTAACTTTTTATTTTTGCACATACCCTTCTATTTGCATGTCACCAAACTCTAGGTCTAAAAGATAGTTTAAAAACCAAATGGTCCAGCCCTGTAATCTCAGCACTCAGAGGCTGAGGCAGGAGAATTGCAAGTTTGAGCCCATCCTGGGCAACTAACAATTTAGTAAGATTATGTCTCAAAATAAAAATATAAGGGCTGGGAATGCAGCTCAGTGTGAAAGCCCTGGATTCAATCCCCAGTACAAAAAAACAAACAAAAAAGAAGAAAGAGGAAGAAGAGGAGGAGGAGGAGGAGGAAGAAGAGCGAAAAAGAAAGAAATCAAATGGTTCAATTTCTTCATTTTTCACACGAGAAAACTAAGACCCAGAGAGCTATGAGGTCATCCCATGGTCACACTTTATTTTCTCCTCTAAGTGAAATATTCATGCTAAATTAATTTTAAAAATTTGTTAATTATGACATAACTCCCTAATCATCAATTTTCCCACTTAAAATTAATAACTGCAAGGGGAAAAATATCTCTATTATATAATACAGTATTAGTATTATCAGAGGCAATGTCTGAAGAATTATAGCTGCAAATTCTGTATGCCCTAATAAAAATTTCCAGAAGTCTTGGATTTTTTAGAAAACAGATGTGAATTCAAAGCCTCTGGATTTTAGGATTTCGATTCGGAGTGTGCATGTTTAGTATGCATTGCTACTGCGGATGTTGCCCGCGGTGTTGATCCTGAAATGCACCCTCCTTGATTAAAAAGGCAAACTACAGGGCTTAAAGAGAGCAGCTAATTGAGGCTTTCTCTGTGCTGTATTTCAGAGAACTGAAATGACGTTGAGAAGGGAAGTGCTTTGTATGGAGCATGGATGGCTTTCAAAACAGCTGAGTTAGAAACAGTTTGGAGTCACAGGAATGTAGGATTCTTAACGTGTGACAGCAGAACACGGCTCAAAATGGGACTAGAAAACCAGTCCTGATGGTAGTTTGCCGAGTTAGGGGGGTGATGTAAGGCAAAGCAATGTATTTTTCTAGTTTTCTTGATAAAATGAGATTAGGTGACCTCCGAGTTCTCACCCAGCTCTAAGACGCCATGGCTTTACTCCAGGAGTGTGAAAGTGATCCTGTATTCCAGTCCCTGCCAAAGCCCTAGATTGAAGAGCTGTCTGGATTGACAGGTCCTAGTGTCCCTCTGTCCTCTGAGACCAACCCTGGGCAGAAACCCGGCACCTTTCTGGTCCCCTTTCCCTTCTTCACCACTGGCCTTTCTACCCTACTGTAAAAAAACCTCACCACCTTTCCGTTTACGTTTCGTGGTTTTCTCTTCTCCATCCACTCTACCATCACTTCAGTACTTGGCCTTTTATCTGAACCACGGGAACAAGCAGCTGCTTTTCTAATGGTCTCTCGGAGTACCATCTGCATCTATGGAGCTCCATTTAGTTTGACTTACACACTCAAGAGGTGGCCCTTCATTCTCTCACTCTCAAACTGTATAATCTGTCAGCAAATCCTGTTGGCTCTTTCAAGTGCGTCTAAAATATGACCACTTAACGTCTTCTCCACTGCTTTTAATGCAGGGCCACACAGCAATAGCTTCTCACTGTTCTCTCAACACAGCCAAAGCAATCCTATGAAAACATTAAGTCATGTCACTCCTCTGCACAAGGTGACATTCCTCACAATGACCTACAAAGTCCCAGGTGCCTTCGCCATTGTCACCCCTACACCTTCATTCCTACTGCTCTGTCCGGTGCCACAGCTACAGACTTGCTCACCGTCCCGCCAACCTGCCAGAAACATGGCCACTCACTGGGACTTTGCAATTGTTCTTCCTGCCTGGAATACGTCTTCTCTAGCTAGCTGTAGCCAGTTTCTGCACTTTGTCACTTAACTGAAGTCACCTCATGAGCTTTCCCTGGTCATTCTGTTGCCCTTTCTAAAATTGTGTTCCCTCTCTCATTTTCACCTTGGTACTTACAACCATCACAGTATGTTTTACTTGTATTTTTCTTGTCTGTTCCACATGACAGTAGACTTTTGTCTATTTTCTTTTTTAAAATTTTATGAAAAAATAAAACAAAATTTCATACACTGCATATTGTTATCTTCAAAATAGTTACTCAGTACAAGGCAAAAAAAGTGCAAGTTTCTTACGAAGAAACAAATAGCACAAAACTTTCTTTGCAATGAGCTAAGAGAAACTAGTTGTATAAATGAAACAAATTAGCATATTTATTAAAATATTTCTGAAACAATGTAATGTCAAAGTCAATGTAATGTCAGGGAAAGCATTTTTACTATTAAAGCCTTCATTTTGGTCTCTAGATGAATCCCATCTTATTTTCCAAGTATTATCCTGGGCACTCAACTAAATTATGGAGCAAAAAGTAGGGTGTACCATAATAGATGAAAAATTCCAGGTCCTGACTGTGTTGGAGACCTCAAAATTCTAAGGCTGTGCTATGTAACACCAAGGTGAATTATGAAGCTACCAAATTCGCTTATTTATGTTAATATCAAATTTACCTTAAGAAGTCATAGAAACTACATTTTGGTTTTTTCCTCTGCCCCTTCCTTCATCAGAAAGATACCCTCTACAGTCAGATGTGGTGTCACACACCCGTGATCCCAGCACTGGGAGGCTGAGGCAGGAGGATCGCCTGGAGTTTGAGGTCAGCCTGGGCTACATAGTGAGTTCAAGGCCAGCCTGAGTATTGCGAGACTTTGTCTCAAAAATCAAACCAAAACAAAACAACAAAAGATGCTCCTCTCCCTGGTACACGGGAGGGATTCATTTATACCGACTTAACTAGCACTGAAAGGGACAATATTTTCAGAAGAGGTTCCTAGATTACTTGCTGCGGCGCTAGCCAGGGTGTCGCCGTCCTCGCACTCTACCATCGGACACTAGCGACCAGAATCTGTCGGCCCAGAAGGGACGTCCCAGCTCCAAGGGAACTGAGAACACTCGAGGTCCAGGAGTGAACCTGCGGTGAGAGGGGCTCCCTGGCGTTGCCGTGGACGCCCTCCCGCGCCCGGGCTGCTAGCTCGGATCTTCGCCCCGCGCGCCGGCCGGCCGGGCAGGTCTCCCCGCGGTCCGCAGCGGTGGCCGCTGGGTCCGCGCGCGGCGGGGGAGGGGCGCGGCCGCGCTGCGTCGGGCTCCCAGAATCCCCCGCGGCGCGGGGAAAGTTTACGGGACGTAGGCAGCGGCGGCGCCGCGGGAGCAGTAGCGGATCCAGGGCGGCGCGCGGCGGACCATGGCCCGGGCCCGGCGTCCCCGGCCTCCCCGCACGGCGTCCCCGGGCAGCGTCGCGGAGCGGGCCGACTTCCGGGAAGGAAAGGACATGCGAGTGTGCGGCGGCCGGCGCGCTTAGCGCCGCGAACATGCGGAGTTCCCTGCGGGCGACCCCGGGCTGCGGAGCGGCGGCGGGCGCGGCCCGGGAGGGCAGGAGGGGGCGGGGGGGACGGCGCCGAGGCCTGGTCGAGGAGGATGCTGTCCCGAAAGAAAACCAAAAACGAAGTGTCCAAGCCGGCCGAGGTGCAGGGGAAGTACGTAAAGAAGGAGACGTCGCCTCTGCTGCGGAGTGAGTGTCGCGCGGGGCGCGCCCACACTGGGCTGCGGGGATCCGGCGTGGCGCCCGCCCCCGATCTTTTCCCTTTGGGCTCTGGGAAATTAATTTTTTTTCTTGTGCCCGAGGTGGTGTTTGTTCATTGAAAGTCAGTGGAGAGTAGGAGAAGGCTTATTACCACGCTCCGAGTCATCCCCTAAGTATAAACTTCCCTGACGACCCCCTCCTCCCAGGGCTGGGCGTTCGTGTTTTGGAGTATTAGGGCAACCGCTGATCCTCTGATGCTGTGGGAGTAAAAGTGACTCGGTTGGGATACTTGGCCTCTTGTGCATTCGTGGAGATCCGAATGTAACATTGCGAGTGTCACTCGCGGTGCCTTAAGTAGTGCAAACTCCGGGGACAGAATTCCTGAGCCCCGCTGCAGGACGCAGACTTGAGAAAGTAAAAAGCAGACCTCTGCCCTTGTAGCTCTTATCCAACCCCTCATCACTCTTAGATCTCAGAAGAGCCGAAAACATTTGTATTTGTCTATTTTCGTGAGATCCAAAAAGCAAGAGTACTCAAAACGATTCCTGTCGCACCGGGGAAGTTGCCAGGAAGTTGGGGTTTTTGTTTTTGTTTTTTAACAAATAGTAGGACGTGTTTCCCCCTCCCCCTGCTTTGCTTTGAAGTTTTAATTTGCATGTGGTCAAGACATTTGTGAGGTAATGCACTAATCTCTAGGTGCTCCTACTGCCTCCAGGGCCCTTTGTGTAGGTTTCCTGCTTGGAAGCTGGTGGTAACCTTGTGACTTAAGCATTACTTCATATTGTAATTGGAAAAGCTGTTCACAGAGGTTCCCAGTACTTGACCAAGAACACTCAGAAAGGGGTGGAGAGAATGTTTTTCCATTGTAACATCAACAGCTTTCTAGACTTACTGTGGTAGTTGCAGTGCTTTCAACAAAATATATCATATCAGTACATCGGTAACCTGACACTTGATTTTTAAACTTGTTTTTAACAGCTTGGTTTTTGGTGTACGTGCTCTTTTATGTTTTTAAATGAAAACTTATGTGCTGCACATAGTTTATTAAACGTTACTGTACGTAGATCACATCTTTAAGCCAATAACTTCAAACTATTTCATTTTTGTTATCAAGTGTTGAGCTTTAGTCCGATACTTAGTTTTAGCCTCTGAAGTTTATTAATGAATGCCTTTAATATTGCTTATTTAATAAACTAATAAAATGGGCTCTATATACAGTTTTCTTCATGTTTTAAAGGCATTTATTTTCTCACCAAGAGTATCTCAACTATTTTCACATTCTGTGTTCAGTAGCACTATATCCTGAAGGCCATTGTTCTACCATCATCTTCTGTTTTAAATTATAATCTTAAGGAGCCGTAGTTTCAGGCTTGGCATTTTGGATCTGATTTAACATTTGTGTCCCTCTTTGAAATGAGATCTTTCAATTTTCATAGCTCAGTTTTTGGCTTTTCAGTCTTTGGTTACTAGTACTAGGTAATTAATAGAGTTACTACTTTTAAAATCTTTTAAAGGAAATATGTGCCTGTTTCAGAGTAGATTTATATTTTCTTTAATTTTTTTGCTTGAAGAATTTTTGGCAATTTCTAAAATGAAGCAAAACAAAAACTAGTCATAATTATTCTGGTAATTAATGATTTATTATTTTCTATTTTTACACATCAATTCATGAGTATTTCATTGATACTCCACAGTTAAGCTGTTGACATTTCATCATATTATGTATGGAATTATGTAGAATACATTTGATTATGGCTGAGTTTGTGCATAGCACATCCATACAAATTATTTTCCTATTTGAGTGGGAAAATAATCTTTTTCAATTTAAAATGCCAAGTACCATCTTAAATCAAAATTTAGATTTTGTTAAGTCAGTTGGTATTTTGATTTTGGGGTGGTAGACAAATGAAAATCCTTGGAAAAGTACGTATTATTTACCAAAGTGGTAATTTAATTCCTGCTTTATTATAGATCTTATGCCTTCATTTATCCGGCACGGTCCAACAATTCCAAGACGAACTGATATCTGTCTTCCAGATTCAAGCTCTGCTGCTTTTTCAGTTTCTGGAGATGGAGTAGTTTCAAGAAACCAGAGTTTCCTTAGAACTCCAATTCAACGAACACCTCATGAAATAATGAGAAGAGAAAGCAACAGATTATCTGCACCTTCTTACCTTGCCAGGAGTCTAGCAGATGTCCCTCGGGAGTATGGCTCGTCTCAGTCATTTTTGACAGAGGTTAATTTTGCTGTTGAAAACGGCGGAGACTCCAGTTCTCGTTATTATTATTCAGATAATTTTTTTGATGGTCAGAGAAGGCGGGCACTTGGAGATCGTGTGCATGAAGACTACAGATACTATGAATACAACCATGATCTCTTCCAAAGAATGCCACAGAATCAGGGGAGGCATGCTTCAGGTATCTTAATATTATAGATAGTACATTAACATTGCAATTAAGATAATGCTCTGTATGGATTTTCCCGGGAAGCCAACAAATACTAGTTCCTTTTTTTCCCCATCGTCCATTGTGCCAGTCTGGTAGTTGCAGGTAGTTGTTAACATACACTGAATGATGGAATTCTTGAGTCCATTTATTTTATTAACTCCTCTTATATGAACTTGGTACTTATCTCAGGATTATCTAGAGTTAACACCATGAACCTTGAAAACATAGAGAATTTAATGTCTTTGGTTGGATGGAATTTAGATTTAGGTTTGGTGAAATGAGAGGGTTAGGTCTTTAGAGATACTAGGCCTAAACCTGAAAAAGGAAAAGAAGATAGGAAAAATTGGTTCTGCCAGGTGATACCATGGGCAGCTATATTACTAGTAAGATCTTATACTTTTTCTCTGAACACAATTTTTTGTAGCTCGGTAATTTTCAGTTTGGTCAAAAAGAATTCAAATGGTCTATTATGTGTTGAACATGTCTTTTGGTGGTGGTTCTTTTGTAACAGGCAAAAAATATTAATCATGCAATTAAGGAAAAAAATCTGCTTTACTTTTATCTTGGGGCTAGTTCTACAAGGAATAGAAGAAATTCGGAGAATTGTTAGTTTTCCTCTTTCCTAATATGCTGAATTACACTAGATAAATTAACTTGAAAATTAAGCGTCATCATGTGGTTTTATTTTATTTTTTAAATTAAATTTTATTGGTACATTTTAGGTTTACAATATAATGACATTCATCATTGGAAATTTGCATCTTTACATAATCTCTCCTGGTTCTTAGGTGATTTTATTTAGTCCCTTCCTAAAAGTTGAAGGGTTTAAATTTGGCAGGATAAAGATTTACATTTTAGCCACATAACTTCAAATAAGCTGACTTAACAGTTTGAACCATGAGTATTTTGACTATAGGGAAAATTGTATTCATTTTGTTTTGATCATTTATATGTCTAGCATTTTCCTTGACCCTCTTGGGATACTGTATTGGGGAAACAAAAATTATATATACAAAACAAAATAAAAATTACATATACAAAACAAAAATTATATATACACTAGTTATAGAACAGTTAATTGTTACACTTTGTGCTATCAACTATGATTGTGGGAAATTGAGAATAGCCCGGGGAAAACAGACTAGTCAGGGTTTAAATTTAAGGAAGTGGTCAGTACTGCCTCTTTTTAAGAAATAAGATATAAGATGAAATGCAGACTTGTTTTCCAACTACAAGCAGATTTGAGTCAAGCAGAAGCCACTGTGCGTTTCACAAAGAGAAATGATTTTATGAAAGTAGTGTTTAGAGATTAGTTTGTAGCATCTTTTGGGATAGATCCCAGAGGAAAGATGATGGATTACAAATATGAGTGATAATGGAGAGGAAAAGATAGAAAGCTGGTATTGTAATCTCATCAGGATGTTAAAGACGAGAAGTTTTCTGGGCATGTAGAAATGAGCAGCGATGAGGACCTTTTTGATTTTAAAGAACTTCTAGATTAACACAGTTGTGTATTGAGTATTGCAGGTTATTTTTAATAGTTTTCATCCTCAGAAGTAATTTTTACACATTCAAAAGTGAATATAAAAAAACTCATTTTCTTTTAGAGTAAGAACTTTAGTATAGGAATTTGCAAAATGCAGAAATGTAAAGTACTCGTCTACCAGCAATTCTTTGTTATATTATTTTCTTTATCTTTTTCTATGCTCAATTCTTTTTTTTTTAATGTTGTAATTATGTCCTGTACAGCTTTCGTGTCCTTGGCTTTTACTTGAATGAATTTCTTAATGTTACACAGTTTTTATGAGTAATAACTCCATAATTTTCTACTTTGGTGAATGTTCAGTGGTTAGTATTTTAAACAAATTAATGAGGAACCTGATTGGGACCTTTGGAAAGGAAGAAGTGGGACACATCCAAATGAATGGGACTTGGCCACTAATAAAGTTTGAGATATGGGGGGAAAGGAAGAGTCAGATGTGATCAGCATAGCCCTACATAGTGATGCCTCCAAAAGTAAATGGCTAAGAGAATGAATGAATCCAGAGGTTTCAAATCTGGAGACTTAAGACAGTTTTTGTTAGCAAAAGGAGAATAGCAGCAATAGCTGGGTTTGTTGTAATACAGGTTATCTGTTGTTCTTTGCACTCACCTTTCCCATCTCTATATTGCAAATACTGATAATTCATACAAGTAGAGCATATTCAAAAATCTGAAATCTGTAATGCTCCAAAATTGAAACTTTTTGAGCACTGACATGATGTGGTCCATGAGTACAAAATTCCACATTTGACCTCGTGTGACAGATCACAGTCAAAAGAGAGGTACACTAAAAAACATTGCGCTTCAGACTGAATTAAAGTCTAGATGAAATGTACATGATTTTCATGTATGGACTTGGGTCCCCTCCCCCAGATATTTCATGTATTTACAAATATTCTAAAATCCAAAAAGATCCAAAATGCAAAATACTTTGGTCCCAAGCATTTTGGATAAGGGATACTCAGTCTAATAGTTTTCTGTGTGAGCTTTGAGTATGTCTGGAGAATTAGTAATACCAAGTTAATGTCTTGTTTTAAAATTCTGATTTGCAAAGTATCATTGAAGAAATACCATAAACCAAATTTCCACTGATTTAGGAGCAATCTTGACATGGTTTTTATAAGTTTAAAGACAGACTTAAATCAGCTTTCCAGTCACAACTTAGAGTTAATAAAATGTTTTTTCAAGTTAAAAGTTAAAAAATAAGATTTGATTTCATGGGGTAGCTGCTTTTAATGATAGTAGGCTTCTGTGTTACTTATCTTATCCCAAGCTCTTTCATATCAGATTATACCAGGTTTACAGAAGGTTGCAGATATTTGAAGAATTTTTTGTACTAAAAATGTAACCCCCTCTGATTTTTTTTTAAAGAAAAAGACATGTATTTATTACAGCAGTGAGTGATACATTGCTTGAGAAACTTCACTTACTATTATTAATTTATGTCCAGGCAATATGGATGTAATGGTTTACCTTCTAGAAGAAGATAGTGCTTCTTTGAAGAAACCTCTTAAAATTGAGGGAAAAGGTTAACAGTCAGTTTAGTAACCAAAGAGAAAAACCTTACAACTGTCTTTCCCAGAAGAGAAATATCTGAATGAGACAATGGCAGAAAGTTTCCTGAATTCAGAAAAGACTTGAAACATGCTTTCAAGATTTATGCTGGATAGGGTTCGAGGAATTTAAATGAATAGAAAGGAGAATATAAGTTTGTGGGAGGGTAGGCATGAGCTGTAGACAGATCTATATTCACAAGTACTGTATTAAATTTTTGTTGTTAATGTAAGTATAAAAATATGGAAAAATTTATGACTTATAATAATCCTGCTATAATTACTTGTTACTTAGATGTTTAGGAAATGCCTTTTCTAAAGGGTTAAATTTATCTTATTTAGCAGAAGCACAAAAACAAGTTGAAGTTGTGTAGTAGCTTTTGGTACAATAGCTTAAAGGATCTTAGGGCCTAGGAAGTTCTACATTTAGCTATGAATTTGACCTTAACATTCTTGGCCATCATGCCAGTCAGTCACTGTGTGTGCCAGGGGAAGGGATCCTGCTCTTAACAGGAAGCTGTAAGCAGATTGAATTTCTTTGTTATGCACATAATTTAATTCTATGAAATTTTAAGTAATAATTTTTAAAAATATTTAAAATGGCCGGGGATTTAGCTCAGTGGTGCCGCCGCCTGCCTCGCAAGTGCAAGGTCCTGAGTTCGATCTCCGGTACCAAAAAAACAAAAACAAAAAAGAACAAAACAAAAAAATATTTAAAATGTTTTAAAGTCCCCTAAAGAAATCAACTTATAAAAATCAAACTGAGAGCCAAGGATTTATCTCAGTAGCACTGCGCCTGCCTCTCAAGCACAAGGTCATGAGTTCAGTCCTCGGAACCAAAAAAAAAAATGTCAAACTGAAAGGTGTCAGGCTTTATTTAAAAAATACTGGATTTGTATTTGTTCCAGTAAATATTGGGTTAACCAGAATTATCTTTTGAGGAAAGGTTGATAAGCTTTAGAGACACAATTTTATCTCTAATTATTTCACAGAGGAACGGAAAAAGTAATTGGCTTGGTTTAATATTTAGAACTATCAACATCCTGATTATAACTTTAGTATCTATCACCATGGACTTTTTGGAATTCAAGTTTCAGATTTTTTTCCCTGGTCCTGGGGATCAAACCCAGGGCCTTATGCATGCCGTGAATGCTAGGCAAGTGTTCTTACCTACATCCCTGGCATCCCCTACCCCCTTCTAAGGGCTCACTGAGTTTCCCAGGCTGTCTTTGAACTTGTTATCCTCCTCATTTGGCCTCCTGAGTAGCTGAAATTACAGTCGTGTGCCATTACACCTGGCCCAGATCCATATTAATTTCTGTAGACACTTAGAAGTTTGGAAACCAAATATCTTGAGCTTTCTTTATAAATATAGGTCTCATGGATATCTTATAGGTTAAGTTCTTTGAAGGCATATCTAGTGTAAGCTTGGTGGAGACAAAAGAATACTTTTGTCTTCGGAAAGTCCTGTAATTAGCTTGTGAATGTTTTACTTTATATTATTGGAATGTGTTTCTGCTGTCAATTCCTGCAAACAGAAGCAAGTTTGAAGATTATTTATGAAAGCCATTTATTCTTTTCTGAGTAATTGAAATTATGGAAAACTTTTCCCCTTGTGGTTCAGGAATAAAGTCTCATTTTTCTGTAGTATTAATTTAGTTCAAAATTGGTAGCTTCCTTTTTCTTTTAGTGGCAGTTTTATTTTTCTCCTTTTGTTCTACTAAAATTGATTGTGGGTTCAAATGTCAGCCTGGTTCATCCATCATAATCCCAGCATTTAGGGAGGCTGAGGCAGGAGAATCACAATTTTAAGGCCCTCCCAAGCAACTTAGTGAGGCCCTGTCTCAAAAAACGAAAAGGATAGGGGATGTAGCC